AAATGTGAATACAACAACTTTGTTCTTCATTTTTAAAATTGTTTTGGCTATTTGAAGTTTCTTAAGATTTCATTTTAGAATATTTTTTTTCCTATTTCTGCAAAAATTGCCGTTTGGATTTTGGTGGAAATTCCGTCAAATACATAGATTGCTTTGGTAGTACAGACATCTTGAAAATATTAAGTCTTCCAATCCATGGACATGAGGTGTCATTTCATTTATTTGAAAGTCTTCTTTGATTGCTTTCATTAATGTTTTGTAGTTTCCCGTGTATAAACCTTTCACCTTCTTATTTAGGTTTATTCCTAAGTATTTTATTATTTTGATGCTATTGTAAATGGAATTGTTTACTTAATTTCCTTTTCAGATTGTTCGTTGTTAGTGTATAGGAATGCAACTGATTTTTGTATGTTGATTTTGCCTTCTGCAACTGCTGAATTTGTTTATTAGTTCTAAAAGTTATGAGTTTTGGTATTATCTTTAGCGTTTTCTATGTGTAACATGATGCCATCTGTGAATAGAGATAATTTTAATTCTCCCTTTTTAATTTGGGTGCTTTTAGTTTATTTTTCTTGCCTAATTGCTCTGGCTAGGACATCCAGTACTATTGAAGAGAAGTAGCAAGAGTAGCCATCCTTATCTTCTTCCTGATCTCAGGGTAAAAGGACTTCAGTTTTTCATCACTGAGTATGACGTTAGTTGTGGGCTTTTCATATATTGCCTTTATGATGTTGAGGTAGTTTCCTTCTATTCTTAGTTTGTTGAGTATTTTTTTAATCATGAAAAGGTACAGAATATGTCAAATACTTTTTCTGCATCATTAAAGAAAATAATAACTTTTTGGTTCTTCATTCTGTTAATGTGGTATAATTCTGCCATTCTTTGTATAGTTCCTAAATCCTGTTAAATTTTCCCTTCTAATCTTTAGCTCCTTGGCAATAATTTCATTATCCAGTAAGGATTTTTATCAGTATTTTATACGTTGTGATATATTAATTTTTGGAACAGATTTGATATTTCCAGCACCCATCATTCTAAGCCTTGTTTCAGAGAAGTGTGATCATGTAGCCCTTATTTTATAAAACTTTTCTCTGAGTTCTCTTTTGCCTCTTTCCTATTTTTAGCCTCCTCTTAAATCCCTAGGTAAACTCCTCTGTGTCCCCCAGAAAATTTATTCAGAAACCTTTTTCTTTTCTGTGAAATTTCTCAGTATGATGACTCACAGTGAGCCAATGTTAAAACAATAGTAACCAGAACTCAACATTCTCATGCATGCCAATATCATCTCTTCATCTTGAATATTTTCTGAGCCTATGCAACTTAGATGCAGGCCGTAAGAATAGCCTTGGTTACTGGTGCAAAAAAAAGTCAAGCAACAAAACAGAACAAAATGATAATTGGACCTAGGAGACACTTGGCAGGGTAGCAGTTTTATTTTAAAAGTCAAATCATATTTTTAAAACTTCAGGCCATTTTATCAATGCTTTATTTATAGGTGTAATCAGTTCCATTCAGAGAGAAATGTCTAAAGAATTAGATCATAAATGAAGGGAAAACAGCATGGAACAAAATGGAAAGAACCCAAAGCATGAGAAATGTCTTGTCCTTTCTAATACTTGTGATTCCTAAGTTCTGCTTTCTGGAGAGGTCGTGAGTGGGCAGAGACAAAGCGTGCAACACAAAAGGAGTAGCATGAAGTCAACCACGAAATGCTGTCTCATCACAATTATTTTCTAAATACTGTCATCATCACATTTCGCTGTTAATAGGTTTATATCACAGTGGTATTAATGAAAATGACATGTCTAAAAGCAAAAATTTGCATAAAGTTTTGTATTAGAGGGTCGTGAATGCTAGCTGAAAAAATTCAAAACTCTAGTTGGGACTTTTTTTTTTTTTTTTTTTTTTTGAGACAGAGTCTCACTCTGTTGCCCAGGCTAGAGTGCAGTGGCACAATCTGGGCCCACTGAAACCTCTGCCTTCCAGGTTCAAGCAATTCTCCTGTCTCAGCCTCTGGAGTAGCTAGGATTACAGCCCCCTGCTACCACACCCAGCTAGTTTTTGTATTTTTAGTGGAGACGAGGAGGTTTCACCATGTTGGCTAGGTTGGTCTTGAATTCCTCACCTCAGGTGATCCGCCTGCCGCGGCCTCCCAAAGTCCTGGGATTACAGGCATGAGTCATCGTGCCTGGCCTGGACATCTTTTAATTAGGTAAATTGGCAATTGGATCTTTTTCTACCTTTTTCTTTTGAGAAGGTTTTTTTAGTTGTTGTTAATCAAAAGCTTTTTCCCCTTCATTAATATCCAAGTACATAAATGTCTACTTTACACTTATTTTTGTGGGTAAAGTAGCTCAGTTTTTGTACTAGTATTATAAAATTCTGGTTTTGATAATTCGAAGTTATGGGGTCTATGCAGAATTTCTTATGAGAAACACACACAGAAATCCAGTGTCTTATAAAATGATTTATATTTCATTCATGTTTCAATTCTATTTTTGGTGAAACTTGATCATTAGCAGACACAAATGTACCTTGAAGCCTTGGTCAGTATATGATATGTGATATATCATCACATACAGCACTAAAATCTCCTCATCTTTTGAAAACTGGGCTAGAAAAAAAATTGAAATATGCAGGACAACCCCAAATTCTCATCTTTTCAGAGATTGCCAAGCAAATGTGAACCCTCTGAATTTGCTGAGACTCTGATCTCCAGTGTGAATTCAGGTTACCTGCCCTTCAGATTCTAGTTATGGCCTTCAGAGACCCTGCTGAGGCACTGCAAGGATGATGTTCTTTGTCACAAGGTCACTGTGCACTTATTTCATGCAGCCAGGCAATAAGAGTATCAAATTCACCTTCAAACTTTTGGCTCTGTGGCTTGAAAAAATCCCAAACAAGAGATTTTCTGGAACAGCTCTTTCAAGAATCCTAGTTTGGTTGGTCTGACTCCCAAGGGCTATTTGTGATTGGATGATCCCTCCTAAGGGTAATAGGTTCTGCCGAATTTCACATGAGGTCCAAGTTCTTCATGGCACTAGTGTATACTGTAGTATAGCCGCTGGGATCACAGCCAAGGGCTAGATGGTGGAAGGGCAAACTAAAATATATAGGTGTGTTCCAAAAAGGAAGAACAAGTGCCCATATAAAAAGAATTATGCTATATATTTTATATAATATAATGAAATTTATACTATAAGCTGAATTGTCAAAGTTACACCAACAAAAAATAACACAAATAAACAGAATCCCATCGTTCCTCAAAATCCTGGGGCTGTGTAACTTAGAAACAGAAATGAGCGTGTCTGGGACCATACAAAGAACCCCAGAAGCACTCGTCATGTTCTTGCCCAATGTGGTTCAAACAGCGCCATTTCAGGATACCGGTTGACTTCAGAAGTGAGGGTGATCAGCTCACTGCTGCCTCAGGCACTCTCCCTGGGCACCTCAGCTTGGAGCACAGTATCAACCTGAGCGGAAGAAAGTTGGGTTGCTCATGGGTCCGTGAACCCAACTGAGAACTGGTTAAGTGGTTAGCAGGCAGGGCTGTTGAGTGACGTGCAGGCCCCTCTCTCTTCCGAGGCAGCTGGGCTTCCGGAATGCAGATGCCCGGCCGCCTTCCTGCCAGACAGTGGAGAGTTGGGTTAGAAGGGGGAACATCTGGGGAGATTTCCGGTAGCAATCTCCGGAGGCTGAGCTAGATAATCAGGTTTCATAAATTGGGTTGACTAGACAGTAAAATATTTATTATGATTCTTCCTCTTTTTTTTTTTTTTTTTTTTAAGTTCAAAAATCCTTGTCATCCCCGGCTGAGGTCTGTGTCCACATGAGAGGAATTCGTAATGAAATGAGAAGTAACCTGCCACCACTTCCTCACGACCTCCACCTGCAGCAGGCGGGAGGCAGTGATTGGATCTGCATATGTGCTCCTAAAAATTGTTTTTTCCTAAAAAACCAGAAAAATCCATGAAACAACAAGAAAAAGCAATCCAAAAAAAAAACCCAAAACAAACAAACAAAAAAAACAACAACCCATGTGATGGTCTTTTATTCATTCCTGATTATCAAATATTTTCTTACATGGGTGAAAAACAGAGGCAAATAATTTGGATGTTGTTTAAAAATAGACTTTCGTATGAATAATGTTTAGTCTTAAAGATACCTATTATTACTATTTTAACCTTGAATCTCTACTAAAAACAAATGGTGAGTTGTGGAATTATTCAGATAATTCAGACCAAAGTGCTGGTTTCTCTGTAAATATTTAGATAATGGAACAAAAACAGCCACAGCTGATGTGTGTGATTTGTGACCAAGTGCTTTCTTTGGGATAGTGGATGATGTCTTGGCTGTACCCTCAAACTAAGTCCCATGTCAGTGGAAAGCATTCGAGGTTTTTTTTTTTTTTTTTTTTTTTTTGAGACGAAGTCTCGCTCTGTCGCCCAGGCTGGAGTGCAGTGGCCGGATCTCAGCTCACTGCAAGCTCCGCCTCCCGGGTTTACGCCATTCTCCTGCTCAGCCTCCGAGTAGCTGGACTACAGGCGCCGCCACCTCGCCCGCTAGTTTTTTGTATTTTTAGTAGAGACGGGTTTCACCATGTTGCCAGGATGTCTCGATCTCCTGACCTTGTGATCCGCCCGTCTTGGCCTCCCAAAGTGCTGGGATTACAGTCGAGGTTTATTATAAAGAGGATTCAGATTTCTGTCTAAGGTGGACAACTTTTTTTTTTGTTTTTCTGAGCCAGGGTCTTGCTCTGTCACTCAGGCTGGAATGCAATGACATATTCACAACTCACTGCAGCCTCCACCTTCTGAGCTCAATTGATCCTCCTGCCTCAGCCTCCTGAGTATCTGGGACTACAGGTGTGTGCCCTGCGCCACCATGACCAGTTAATTTTCTTGTTTTTTTTTTTTTTTGGTAGAGATGGGGGTGGTCTCACTATGTTGTTCAGGCTGGTCTCGAACTCCTGGGCTCGAGTGATCCTCCCGCCTTTGCCTCCCAAAGTGTTGGGATGACAGACATGAATCCCTGCACCCAGACTTTTTTTCCTTAAATGCTCACACTAGTTAATAATTTGGCATTTTAATGTTTCAGTCAATTGGTAATCAACACTGATTACAGAGAACAGCGTCTTCACCTGGGTGTAAGATGACTGCTACTTCAGGCCTCGCTTCCCATCTAGCCCCAGATCCTGCCATTCCCCACAACATCCCATGCTCCAGTGAAACCTCCTCAGCATTCCCAGTCTCATGCAGATGGCCCACTCCTCCGTGACTTCACACCTGCTGTGTGCTTCCAGATTTTGTTCCTTGGGCAACCTACTGTATATGGCCTCATGGGGCTCCCTGCTCCCATCCTCATCAACTCCTCAATACCTTTCCAATCAGCCCGCCTTCCACCACAGTCTATGCTGAGAAAGGTATCTGCCTTTTGAGCTTCCATTTTCTCCTATTTACATCTCTAAAGTATCACTTATTTTCTTTTCCAACAGCCACAGATATTTACCGAGTGCTTCTTCCATGGTAGGTCTTTGCTCACGTGGTGAGAATACAGACACAGTTCCTGCCCTCCTGAGGCTCACATTCCAGGTGAGGAGAAAGATGATAGACGTTCATGGGAAATGATGCCAGAAAGTGCCATGACAAAGATACAACAGAGGTTTTTCTTGTTTGACTTTCCCCGTAGACTAGGAACTCTTTGAAAGCAGAGATGGTAAATCTAGCATAGAGTGGAGTGTTAGCATATACTACACATCAGTCAATCTTGAATGAATGAGCAAATGAAAGGCGTATTTAGTGGACTTCTCATGATGTTTCCAATCCTTCCAGTAATGGAGGATATAAAAGAAATAAATAATAATTTTACTTATCATTATGTTTGGAAAGTTTTCTCAAAAAATATCTATAAGACATTTTCAAAGATAAAGAATTTTCCCTTTGACTACAAAACAACGATTAGTTCAGATAGCCAGGCACAAGGCCATCACCTCTTCTGACTGTCACTGATCATCATTCAGACAGATCACCCACAAGACATGTAAAAAATGGTGGTTCTCTACTCCAGGTTTTAATTTCTATTAACTTCTGTGGCATATGATCTTGAACAAACATTTGTAGTCAATATTTGATAAAAAGCCCGATTCAATCAAGTAAATAAAGCATTAGAAAAAATAATTTCATTCCTTTGCTAAACTAAATCCATTCAGATACCAGTAGAACTGAGGACAAAGGATATTTCAAACAAAACAAAACAAAACAGTGAGACCCATTGCTCATTTGCATTTTAAAATTAATTGCTGCCCTAATTATTCGTCAATAGAAGCATACATGAAGCAAATATAACTTAGCGTAAGCTTTTAGACACCCACAGGATTCTCCCTGCAAGAGTAAACTGTCATAATGGTTCTCAGTGACAGTTTATTTTTGTTGTCTTTCCATGACTGAAGAAAAAGAAGATTGAAGCCATACAGAAATGAAACAGACTCAAGGGAAAGAGATGGACACAAGTAGTTACTCTTAGTTTTCACCTGTAAGATGGAAGAAGAAGGGCTGGGCATGGTGACTCACGCCTGTAATCCCAGCACTTTGGGTGGCTGAAGTGGGAAGATTGCTTGAAGCCAGGAGTTTGTGACCAGCCTGAGCAATATAGAGAGACCCTGTCTCTATGAAAAAAAAAAAAAAAATAGCTGATCGCAGTGGTGTGCACCTGAAGTTCCAGCTATTCAGGAGGTTAAAGTTGGAGGATCTCTTGAGCCCAGGAGGTCAAGGCTGCAGTGAGCCAGGACTGCATCATTGCACCCCAGCTTGGGTAAGAGCGAGCAAGAGCTTGTCTCTAAATAAAATATTTAAAAAGATAAGATGCAAGAAGGTAATAACCAGTAAGGAATGTTGGTACCAAGGAGCTGCCTTGGCAACCTTCCTGAAGCTGCACTTTCATTAATTGTAAAGTGTGATTGACTCCATGACCCCAAAATGGAACCAAAAGCTGAAAAATGTAGTTCAGCATGGAGTTGTTACCTGTCTTGCTTTGTGTAAATCTGATGGATTGACTTGAGTATTTGCTCCTTCTACTTTCCCTCTGCTTTAGTTTCGGCTGCTATAACAAACACTGCAGACTCGGGGTGGGGGTTCACACGATGATTTATTTCCACAGTTCTGCAAGCTGAGAAGTCCAAGATCACGATGCTGGCTGATCAAGGTTCCTGGTGAGGACTTTCTTCCTGGTTTGCAGAGAGAGAGAGAGAGAGAGAGAGAGAGAGAGCCAGACAGACAGACGGGTTTCTTCCCCTTTTTATAAGGTCATTAATCTCATAGTGACAGTGACACCTTCATGACCTCATTTAACCCAAATCACCTCCCAAAGTCTCCACCTCCTGATACGATCACATTGGGGGTTAAGGCTTCAACGTATACAATTTGATGGGGACACAAGCATTTAACCCAAAGCACCCTCCCACCATGTCGACAGAGCTGTAGGAGGAATTTAGCACAGCTGGGAAAATTTCTCTGGCACATAATCAGGCATTCATTGTTGGTAATCTCTATCAAAAGCTTATGAAGCAACACAATGATGCTGAATAACAAACAATTCTAAATCTCAGTGATTTAAATTAACCATCATCTATGCTCATGCTTCCTGGGCTGCAGGTCAGCTGTGGCGTGGGTGATCTACGTGGGTACAGCTAGGCACCTCTCCTCCAGGTATGCCTTGCAGGTGCACGGGTCAGTTGGAAAAACTCTCTTTCAAGCCACAGTTTGTATTCAGATCTATTTTATCTGTCTCATTCTGCAGTGATCATCACAGGGCATAGAGCTATCTGATTTACAACCTTTTTAAGTTGCGAGTAGCAGCTCTCAAAGTGGTATGTGTAAACATGCAATGCCTTAAGGCCTAGGTTCCAAATTGATATATGGTCATTTCTGCCCGCATTTCACTGGCCAAAAGAGTCCCATAGTCAAGCTTGACATCAATAGGGTGAGAAAGTCAACTCTTGCCATTGGAGGCCAGTATGTTTCTGTGTTGGGGGCAGGAGAGGTACTGAATATTTGTTAAACAATCATTTAATCTATCACAACTATATTTACAGAAAGTCCTTTACTTTCTGACGTAGGCCTCTACACATGAATTATTTCAAGTTTGCCCCCTTCCTGCTTTTTTTGGTTTTCCCCTGAGTTTGTTATGAGTAGCCAGAAAGATCTTCTCTCCTTAGGAAAAATATGTAGAAGATTTAGAAACACCTGACTTTGCATGAACTTCCAGAAAAAACAGCCAGACGTGGTCCAGTTGAGTCTCTGTCCTGCTGCTTGAGGAAGGGGACCATGGGACGTGGGTCTATGGGTCTCATTTGGATTTGAGGCCATGTGTTGAGCCGCCCAGTACAGACCAGACAGCAGAATGTCACCTCCGCAGATGTGTACCTGACTTTACTGCTCCGATTACAGCATCACTTCTCCCCTGTCACCAACTGGCAACCCACAGCAAAGGATGTTTTTCTGATCATTTTGCACTCATTAAACGCAGCTGTCACAACAGTGGATGCGAGGATGCATGCAAAACTTTTCTGCCACATCAAAATAAAGCTGAAATGCTTTTTAAAAAAAGAGCTGATGCCTTTGAAGTCTATTCTCAAGGAGTATTGGAAATATTGCTTTTTGTCGTTGACAATTGAAAGTGTTCCGTTGCAACACAAATTAAATCTCTGCCCAGGCTAAAGAAGTATCATCCATCAAAATTTTGCAGCAGAAAGCATTTGGCCTACCATTTGTGGGGTTCAATCATACTATTCCGGTGTCTGAATGACTCATATTCATTGTACTGGCTGATCCCTGCTCATGGTTTCAATAGGGAGAAGTAGTTCCCTGACTCTCAAAGGAATGTTACGAGTATGAGATAACCAGGCACCTATACAACCCCTATTAGAGACTTAAAACAAGTGAATAGATTCTTGAGCTTCAACATGGACCCACTGGACTAGATTCTCTGGATGGGAGTGGGGACTTTCCCTGATTCCGATGCAGTCATCAGAATCCATTTCACCAATCCCCAGGCCTGTGTGGGAACCAATAAGGACTATACATTTCAGTAATGTGCCTGCTGATGTAGCACCTCTTACATTTTCCTGTTGTTTACTCAGTGTCAGTCTTATCTCTTGATCAGTCACAAGTTGACTCTGGCCTCTACTTCTCTGAGAAGCCCACCATCAGCTCCCCCTGGGCTACATAATGAGACCACTACCTGTGTCCCCTTCATACCCTTTGCCCACCTCGATAACAGTAGCTCTCAATCTGTCCCCGTCATCTGCTCACGCATCCCCACTAGACTGGAATTTTGAGAGTAAGGACTGTGTCCATCATCATATGTGTGGTTCTAACAGTATAACACAGGGCTTGACACAGAGAAGGCCCCCGGAAGGGTTGGTGACAGACAGGAAGGAAGGTATGGGGAAGGAGAACAATAGCATCAGATTGTTTCCAGGGGTGGGTGGGCACAGCTTCCAGCCAGATGCTGCTTGTGCACATCAGGTGACTACAGATACAGACTTTTTAGTCTTTATCTGCCTTCCTTCTTCTACCCCAAAGGCTACATGACAGCCTGGGCACACAGGCAACAATTATTAAGTAATGAGAAAAGATAAGAAGAGCTCTCATCTTCTGGGTGGCTGTATCAGTCAGGGTCCAGCCAGGAAAACTCACCTCACTAGATATTTCCTGCCTTGCCTCCACCTACATTCCCCTTTTGACAAAGCCTAATGGGAGGCTGGGGAAATGGAGCACCTGTGCCTTGAGAGCCAAGTGGCTGAGCAGTTTGGACTCATTCAGTTCCCTCTCTCATCACAAGATGGGACACACATTTCAATGACCCACAGCCAGCTGCACAAGCTATGGTGTCTGATGAGGACACACCCTCGCTCTGTGTTCTTGCAATGTGTGATGACATTGCGGGCTACTTGAGGAATACGTGTAAGAAATTGAGATGCTGCCTCTTCCATGATATCACACTGGAGAGAAAAATCCAAAGACAGGATAGAAATAGTGAATTTAAGGGAATTATGGATGAACACCTAGAATCCTCTGGTGTTCCAGTTACTGCGTAAATTAAGGCTGGGCACTGACCGGAGAGCTGAGATGAGAGGAAAAGGAAAAGGTTGAGGGTACAAGGGCTCTGAGCTTGGTGAGTTTTGGTGTCTTAAGTGAACCCATCTTAAGTGATCTTAAGTGATCCCTTTCCTTGAGGGAGGCCATTGTTTACACAAGGCTCTGTCACCTCCTGGATAACAAAGAATTCATTCACTGGGTGCTTTTTCTATACACAAGCCTACCGTGGTTAGATTGTGTTAGTAATTTGAATGTATTAGATGCATTATATTAACTGTTATCAACATATCATGTGACTGTGTGTCTGTCATGTGCAAGATACCTGTACCAGGGATGCCACTGTCCTTGCTGCATAGCTAGCACTTTCTCTTCCTCCTATGGGATGACCCAGAACATTCCCTCCAGAGGCTGCCCTGAAGCATCTCGTTGGAAGTTGGTCTCTTCTCTATCATTTGTTATCTCAGGACCTTGTCCCTACCTAACCATAATTCTAATTGGCAATCCATTCATTTATCTGCTATTTGTTTGCCATCTCTAGAAGGGCAGGACCAGCATCTATATCCTTGATGCTTCGTGCAGTGTCTGGCACATAATAGAAGTGAAGCAAAATGTGTAGCATGACTAAATACACACAAGGCATAATACAAGATGAAATCAGATCCCTTTCTTTTTCTCAAAACTTGGCAATATTGGGAAGAGCCATGTACACAGATAAGTAACAAAAGAAAGCATTGCAACGTAATTCCTTTGAAAAATGATGCAACTCTTAGAAAGAGCTGCAGATGATCTTGATACAGGTACAGGGGGGTACCATGATTTTTCAGATGAGTAGAAGAATCGGGGAGTAGATTTGTGGTAGAAGCAGGAGCAGCACCCATGGCCTCATGAGCAAAGTTCTTCCCATTCACTGTTTTTTGGGGGGTTTTTTTTGTTGTTGTTGTTGTTTTGTTTTTTGGTTTTGCCTCCAGGCAGGATGTGTGAGTGAGTGATGAGAGTGTGTGTGTGTGTGTGTGTGTGTGTCTAGCTACAGCCTGAATTGGCACATGGAGAGCTATGCTGCTTGAGATGAGTTGCACTGGATTTCTTTGGGTCTTTGTTTTTGTTTTTGCTTTGAGAAAGAGTCTCACTCTTTCATCCAGGCTGGAGTGCAGAGGCACGATCTCGATTCAGTGCAACCTCCACCTCCCAGGTTCAAGCCAATCTCCTGCCTCAGCTTGTCTAGTAGCTGGGATTACAGGCATGTTCCACCATACCCAGCTAACTTTTATATTTTTAGTAGAGACGGGGTTTCACCATGTTGGCCAGGCTGGTCTCGAACTCCTGGCTTCAAGTGATCCACCCACTTCGGCCTTCCAAAATGATGAGATTACAGACATGAGCCACCACACCTGGCCTGGGTCTGTCTTTCACTTGGTCTCCTTCCCCACTGTCAAACTGATGGCCATGTCCCTCCATGCCAGCAGTGCATGTGCCTCCGTCATTCTCAAGGGCAATAGCAACTTACAACCATTCCATAGGTAGTATAGACAGTTGTTTAATTATATTTTTCATGCCTCTCTTAAAAGTAACATCTGTATACCTTTTATTGTATTAAAAAAGTATTCATAATTCAATATAATTGGAAATATTTCTGGCTATTTCCTGAAAACTCTTAAGGATTATTCAAGTTGCATGGTGTGGGGAAAACCAAGGCTGGCTCTCAGAGGGTTAAAAACGCCTGTCTGGAAGGGGACCCTGAAGACTGCAGCTCATCTGAGGAAACTTGCCCAGCCCTGCACATTAAGGCAGGAAGCCACCTAGAATGGTAAGGACCACCCTGAACTCGGGAGGCTTTACAATTTATTTTTTCATTAATGAGTGCTTCAGAAAGTGCAATGTCCCTAATTCCCTTCTTTGAAAGACGGAAACTTTAATGTGCAGTTAATTAAATGTTGTGTTGATTTGCAAGCCCTGAGCTCTCAGAGGCCTTGGGGAGGTGGAAGCAGGTTTAGAAATCAAACAATGGGGGGACTGACTGTCCCCGATCTGACCACAGTGCAGGCGGCACTGTTTGCCGCAGATGCCTGGGAGGCGTCCGAGGCACCCCTGTGGCCAGACCTGCCGTTCTGAGCCTCGGTGATTTGTGGACGGCTCTGTTTACCGTTGAGAGGAGCAGAGCCCAGGCAACAGGTCCAGGCCCCGGGAGGGAGGAGGCTGGTCCGAGCCTACATCTCTCTCCTGGCTGCCTGGCTTTCAGAAGCATTCTTTAAAAAAAATTTTTTTCCTAGTGCTTCAGCATGTCTTTGTGCTGAGAGGAGCTGTGTCATGCTGGAATTCTTTTCACAACAAACTAAAGAACCCAGCTGTGGTGCTGGCTGCAGCCTGAGAACCTGCAGTGTTTCTGTATGCAGTTATTTACTAAGGGGAGCAGTGAGGCTGCTGAGGTGGGGTTACTTGTGCAAATCCTCAGCAGGCTTTGCCATGCTGGCAGAGCTGGGGTGGGGGACTGTGGGCATCCACCGTCCGGGTGGGATGGGGTGGGGCGGGGCTGGATGGAAGTGCAAAGGCACTTACGGAATCGCAGAGTGCAAAAGGGCCACAGAGCTTATCTTACCTCTCTCCCATTTTATAGACGAGGAAACGTAGTCAAGAAATCGAGTGTGTGATTTTGCAAGAAAAAGGGTGGTTTGCTCCAAATAACTAGAGCCGGTTAACAGTGACAAGTTTATCATCCATTTGGCCCTGGCTAAAGGCACAACTTATGCAGTTACCACGTGACAACTTGCAGGGTTATTGCCACCACAGCACACTTCCCTCAGCCCTCACTCATGGCAAGAACAAAGCATCAATACCTAAAGAAAACACACTTGCTATTGTTTTGGCATGGGAACCCCTTTCTTGTAACTCTTCTGCATGGTCAGCTTGTTTACGATGCCCCCAAAGAGCTGGCGAAGATCTGAGGATTGACTTTGGAGGGTCTTGGCAGTGCTACTATATTCTTATTATGAATAAAAATTTTAAACTCAAGCTGATAAACATATTTTTTTCACACTGAATTCATCAGGAATACATTAACATTTTCTAAAAGGTAAAGACAGAAAAAATGAAAGAATTGAAAGGAGAATATTAGGACGTATTTGGCCACTAGGATCTCTGTTTCCATCAGCTCCTGTGTATAAGCCAGAACTTCACCCCGTATAACTAATGCACAGGGAATTAGCCTATGGAATAATGATCATTCCTGATGAACAGAATAAGAGCTTGTTCCCGTGTATGCGCAGAGCCATTCATCCTAAGAAAGAAATCTGGAGTGAAAGCGCACAGCATATTTTGCATAGGTTCTGTAAAAGGATCCAGGCAAAACAGGCTTTGCAACATTAGTTATGATCATATATGGAAAAAGCAGTTACTTTCTGGGGTGACATATGGCTGAATTGGTACAATGCCCAGGAATCTCAATGTCCCCCTTAGAAGGGTGAGCCCTGGCTTCATCTTTCACCCACATTGTCAGTGGGACAAACTGCACAGG